ATTCCGGGCCTTTTTCCGATCAATTGATGCCTTCATGTATTATTTTACAAAATCCTAAAGAATTTTTCGAGAGTTATGAAACTAAATACATCTTCACTTAAACATTGACATCCTTTTGAAATAAGAGAAAAACACACTTGTTCTCCAAATGACCATGCTTGACATTGGAGCACTTCTGACTTTGCATACAACTTGGTCATCAATTTCGTCTCACACTTCGGCGTTGCGAGACATAGAAATGATGATAAATTGTGCATGAGTTGGAATAGCGATTAATGTAATTTAAGTCCATTTTGTAGATATTTAACTTCACACAAAGGGGTCTTTAAATTAAGCAAAATACTATTCATGATTTAGTAATAGTTTGGACTATTTTGGCAATATTGTTAAATCGTAATGTCATAAAAACTATGCTGCCATCTCTTTAGACTACTTGAAACTGCCACAACTGCTTCCCTACTCGCACACTAGCAAGCAATACGGATAATCGGACAATAAAAATTATTTCATATTATCTAAAAATGCATCTTATCTTTTAGGACTTCTTCAGCATTAAAATGCGATCGCGCACGTGTCGTTGGGTGAAATTGACCTTTACATACCCCATTCATACTGCATCACAAGAATAGAAAGTTTTCGTAAAATTGCAAATGCGTTATATTTCGTAGCTACACTTGGAGCATTACTTTGGCTCAATCATTTGAAAAAGAACTTTAAAACAGAGCATCATCTCTTACCTTTCATTAGTTTACACTATCTTTAGGAGTTTTGCCAAGTTTTGATTTATCAAAATACATAAAATCCTTCATCTTATGCATTCTTTTCTGTCATTCCTGTCAAAATGTATTCTTCTTGTCAACGCTGTATGCAGACTTTGTGGGAATTGACGCATTTTATAGGCCTTCTTTTAGCCAGCCTATTGGATGAATTTCCTGGACCTATCTATCGATGTGTGGTAAACTTGCGCAATTCCTTCTTCTGTCCATCGCAAGATTGGACAAGTTTGGCAGTTAATGACAGACACCTCCACTTGGAGAGAGAAAACATTTTCGTGCAGTACAGAACAGAGTGCCTTTAGGGGATGGCAGAAAACATGACTTAATGTTGACAACAATAACTTCACGACTTCTTTACCGGCCTGAAACACAGATTCATTGTTGAGTCTCGGACAGACTGATACCGACATTTTCACATTTGCTTAATACGGATTGTGTACAGAATGCCGAAGAGCTCATACCAAAACACAATTGCAGGCCTAGAATCTTGACAGTTTCAGAGGCCGAGTGTGCCTGATCTGGACGAATTCTGCATCGGTGTAAAGCATTTCTAAAACATTGACAAGACGAAATTGGATTTATGCTTCCCATGCCGAACCAAGAAGCCAGGTTTGGCGTTGCACACGATGACGAACGAGCGAATGTGGCTAATTTTGCAGATTCACTTGCCCACGAGCATGTCTGCTATGACACAACCACAAATTCCCACAACATAGAGACTGGGTATGGGGATGTCAGCAGCGAAGTATCGCCAATCAGAATATGTATTCCAAGCTTGACAATGTCAAATGCTTGTCGTGACATATGTTGTCAGCGGGAGAGCAAAGAGTTGGCAGTTATCCCATACTGTTCACATGCCACTACTCAACAGGCCTTCTTGGGAGAATGTGTTAATGTAGATCAGTCTTACTGCCTTAGTGAACCGGACGGAATTAATCGGTGTCAGGTTCAGATGGAAAGTCGCAGTTTCGGGAAGAAGGAAGACACAAATTATCAATCAGGTGGAACAGTGAATGCTACAAGTTCTAATCTTGACAAGGATAAAAAAATTGCGAAAATTGCTATGATTGTCGGATTTATAATATTCGGCCTTTGTGTACTTCTAGTCGGTGTGACACTTTCTCTTTCAGACCATATTGATGCAATGGGTATGTTTGCCAATACACACACACACACACACACATATATATATATATATATATATATATAACTTTATTTTCACATATATTTATATAAATTGGTAATTTATACTGTGTAGGCTACAATATTAAAAGTAAATCCTGACCAAATTTACATAAACTAATCAAGTACAGGGCAAATCAGGATTGTCCATTTCTCTTTGTGATAGAGGGAGTTTCGACAAAGCAAATGTCTTTTGCATTTTAGCCAAAAAACATCACTTGCTTTCGTTATACTTGAGGTTTGGGTAAAGTGAATAATTCATTTGATCCCATGACAATCGTTTTTACGAGCAGTACAAGTAGCTTTTACAAGTACCATTTATTTGTGGGTGTATCCTCATCATGTGCATCTTCTTGATACTCTATTTACGGTATTAATTGCAAGTTAAATGGTGACTAACTTGCACTGGACTGTGTAAAAATGGAGGCTAAACAATATTCTGAGGATTAAAATGAAAAAAATAATTATGCAGAAAGCTGGAACTTGGTGGTTAGGTATAGATGCTCAAATAGGAAATTTAATCATTCAAAATAGTTTCGGAAGAAGTCAATGATAAGCGATTGCGTAATTGCAAAAATATTCAAATATTTAAGTTACTTCTACCCTAAAAATCAGTCCCAACACCAGGATTCTTGATCTGCTGTTAGCCTTGAATAATTGCAGGAAGATACTCCTAGCATCATTTGGTTGTTTAAATTTTATATTAATTATTCATTATTGGTAATTTATTAAAATCTTCAAGTAAATCAATTTATATCATTTTTTAATATTACGTCTTGTTTTAAAATCGCAACCTCTCTCAAACTTTATTGAGACTTATCTAAACTACTCAACGTTTACACAAGTAGTATATATGCCCAAAAATGAATAAAAATCAAGCGAGATCATAGTGTTAAGCAAAATTCGTTTTCTCTGACCTTCAATATTTGAGTTGTTAGCGATAAAAAGCATATATACCAAATGGTAACAATTGGTCTGTATTTGCTCCTATTAAGCCTGAATGAGCTGTTAAGACTGAGTGCTCTCTTAATATTACATTTTATGATTTTTAACGAGGTTGGCTCCAACATTTATCCTGACCAAGTTTCCCAATTAATTGATCAACTTCAATTATATTCATCAGTTAGCCATGTAGTGATGAACTGGTGCCTATTTCAGCTTAAGAGTTTTATTTATGCGAGCTTGAAATATGAAAATAGGGGAATTGCTAAAATATGCATTTGATATTTACTTTTATCAGGAATTTTCGAGAAAAATGGTCAAATAAATTTTTACAAAAATGACTCCTTTAATGAAAATGAAACTTCAATTATTCTTTGACTTAACTTAACATAAGGCATCATTTTCAAAATTGCTGAATGGTCTTAATTTCATAATTTAGAATACAACATAAAATATATTCTTTTCACAACCTCCAGACAAGCCTCTGTTAGCAAAAATTAACAAAAAATCTGCTAATTTAGTCCTTATTATTTTGTAGATTTATTGGATGAGCCTTATCTCGATGGCTATAGAAGCGAGACCTGGGAAACCTCAATAATATCCTTTAATCCGGTTTCTCCATCACATTTTAATATTCTTAAGGTTGAGCTTATGTATAAACCCTAAATTAAAGCAAGAAAAATAACCAAGTATTGAATATTTATTATTATGAAGTATTGAAATAAGGCAATAGTAGTAACCTATTGACCTGGTAATTGTAAAGACCAAGATATTGTGGCCTCTGATTTGGTACCAGTCTCATTTGAATGTATATAATTGGTCTCACCTCATTTTCCATAGTGCCGTAGTTGGTGACACCTTATCAAAAATCCTCTTCTGCAGTAGGCACCATAATTCCCAGCGTTGGAGCGTGGACATGGTACATTCCTCGACGTTTCGACATCCTCAGTGGGTCTTGCCAGTCTTAGCGACTAACTACAGCGACAAGGAAAATCGATAACTTGACCGGTGT